CCAACAAAGAGTTATCCAGCCCAAAATGTCAAGAGTGCCAAGGTTGAGAAACTTGCTTTCAATAAAGATAAGAACAGAGTCACATTCCTGAACAAAAGCTCTTGCCTTTCGCAGGATCTTATACTTGTTCTTTCACAGGATCTTATACTTGAGATGTTCTGCCAATCTCAAGTGCAGATCCCCCAGTACTCAGTATTTATTTATTTATTTGGGAGAAAATCCACTTCCACCAGAAAAATTAATAATAAATAAATAAATAAACTGTCTGGGCTTTGCAATTTCAGCTGACTCACATTTCACATATCCCCTGAATTTCAAAGAGCTTAAAAATATGTATGCAGATCAGTCAAAGAAAAAGTCTGGTTTTCATCAGTGAAAGCATTCCCACACTCCCGTGGGCTCTGTGGAAATCGGCAGGCCTGGCTCTTCTAAGCCAAACTTTTTCCTAACTCTTTGCCCTTCTCTAATCTCACGACCTCCTTTTTCTCAAAACATATTTGTTTTTTCAGGGCTCAAATGCTTTCTCCTTGGTGCCTGCTTATAGACCGTAAGGCCTTCTTCTTTTGCACCAAAATTATAAAAGTTACATTTCTTACTGGTCCCGTGGTGCAAGTTACCCATTATCACAGGACAGAAGGAAGGAAACTGCAGTTCAGGATCGTTCTGATGCCTCCCTTATCACAAATACTCACCCACAGGGGTGGCTAAACTCAGAACTTCCAGTGAGAAAGAAAGCTCTACAGAAAATTTCTTTTCAATTGTTTTATATCTTATAGTTGGTTTGGAGCTTTTGTTTTCTTATACTGTAATAATGGGCCACTGGAAGATTAGAAAAGGCAGCTCCCTGTCATGATGCTGGCGGTGTACAAGAGATTGGAATGAGGACTATGTGCACAGTCATGAAGGGGGAGCTCCTTTCTCATACGTTACCTGGAAACGCAGGTCAGTGGAAAAGAATATCCTCTCCTTATTCATCTCACCAGGTCCTTGAAACTCCACACCTGGAGAAGCATTACACTAGCTTTTACTTTGTCTCTTGGGCTGTGAGCTAGATGTGACATTTTAGACTCACTTTGTCTTTTGTTCTAGGACCAAGACCTCTTTTCGAGGAAACAGATGACAAAAGAGAACATGCATAAGATGTAGTAGGACACTCATAGCTAAGGATTCATAAAGGCTGACCATGTTTGGCCTTAACTGAAAGCAAAGTGTTCTCTGAGGCTGGTTTATATTTAGCTTCCTTCTGTTCTTTACAATTGGTAAAACCAGCTCCAGCAACACTTCTTTTGAAGTATTCCAAGGCCACAAGGAGAAGTGAAAAAGAGCAGAGGATTTAAAGAAAGAAGAACCTCGCTCAAGTCAGCCACTTACGGGGCTGTGTGCCCTTGAGAAAGATCTTTCATCCTCCGTGAGTTTTAGTTCTTTTATCTGTGAAATGGGGATAAAAATATCTAGCTCTTATCAAGAGCTCTTTGTAAAGCCCAAGTTTTTATGTAAATGTTAGTTCTGATTTTAAATCCACCGAGAAACAATGTAAGATGTCCCTCAAATGGCAAGTGGAATAGCAATTGTCACTAATTGGAGTTTCAAGACATGGACCAAGCTCTCTGCGGCGTTGTCGCTTCTTGGGTCTTCCGTCATCTGCCCTCATGTCTTTTTACAGAAACATGCAAGAGAAAAGAGTTACCACTCTAACACTGTAGCAAATGCAAGGATTACTTTTCTCTCTATCATTCTTGGCAGGGGTCAGTCATCCAGGTTGATTGGAACATTCCCACTGAGCTTGCTGCCCCAGATGGCATTCCATTCTGCTAGAAAATTCTATGTCAGTGAAATGTGGACAGATAATGTTGAGAAGATAAATGAGGAACATTTGTGAAATTATTTGAACTCTTCTAAAGAAAAGACCCGCACTGATTCCAGGGATTTTTGTTAACATAATTGGAATTTAAAATATGATATTTTACTTGATTAATGTCTCTTCTGACTTTCTTTGTCTTTTGGCCTTGGAGGGGATGAGGGAAAGGATCCAGACTTCCTTTTTAAAAAAAAATTAATAGAAGTAAGTAAAATGCACAGATGTCAATGTCTGAATGTGGCAACCTATCAATAAATGGTAGCACTGTCCTCTCCAGAAGCATCCCCAGTCGCCACTCAGGTAGGTTCAGCCTCTGCAAAGCTCAGAGCTCTGCACCTCCACCCAAATCCTGACCATTCATAATGCTCCTAAGCCCGAGTGTTAGATTCAGCAAACTATGTTTTAGGTGCTGTGCAATCTGCTGAGGATACGAAATGAATAGCCAACAGTTCGTTCCTTCAAGGAGCTCACCTGGAGAGGAAATAGATGCAAAAACAACTGATTATAGCACACAGTAAATCCTGATAAAAGTGTGAGCCCCCAAAAAGGAGAGGTGCTCAATGCTTCCTGTGAGAGTAGGGGCAGCTTGCTTCACAAAGAAGATAACACTCAAACTGAATCTGGAAAAATAATAGCAATTCTTCATATCAGCAAAGAGAGAAAGAGGATTCCAGTGAAGAGAAAAGGGTACCCACAGTCATGCAGGTCAGGAGAAGCAGGAAATAGTGTATAGGGAAGTAATTCAGGAAAATCTACCTCAGAAGGAACACAGGAATGCACAAAAAATGATGTGGTCTGAGAGACAAGGCCAGAGCTGGTTTGCAACAACTGTTTTAGCCAAAGAGGTTTGACTTCAATAGAGGATAGAGCCATTGAAGATGTGGTGATGAGGTGATCTTCAGAAGATGAGAAATGAGGTGGATATCAAGATGTGAGAGCAACTGAGGACAAGAGCTGAGAAGTTAGGCACAAGCTAAATGTCCTTTCAATGTGCACCAGTGACAGGAATAAAATAGCAACCTTTTTAAGCTCACATCAACTTCAGATATTGCTTCAGCCTCAAAAATAGAGCAACTGTTTCCAAAAGATGTCAATGAAGGCGTAGAGAGAACTCAGATGTGACTTTACCTGCCCAGAGTACGGTTTGAGAAGAGGCCAGCTAAACATTTCTCTGTGGCTTTAATGGAAATCGTGACTAAATTGATAAGATATTAAGTCAAAAGAGATAACAGATCACAAGTAGCCCCCTTTGGTTTTGTCTGAAAACTGTATTATTACATTGCACGTAAATATGTTGAGAGACTTGAAAGACAATCAATCAACACTTAAGTCCAATAGATAAAGACAATGACTGTTAAATCTTCTCAAGTCTTCATAACTTTTCATGTTTAAAACTAATTTTGAAGAATCATATTTCTTCTAACCAAAAATAATAATTCAAGGGCTAAGGAAAAGTTGAAGGAAAGCCTGAAGAAGGCAACCAGGGAAGAAACAAGAATTCTTTAAGATCAGAGGTTCTGCCTTCCAGAAAAATAACTAACTAGAGATTTCCTTTGATAAATGGCAAGTTAAAGAAATTGCAGAGTGGTAGAAAATATCGTTTACCTACAAAAAGAACTATTTCCTCACCATGTTTCACGTTTCTAGAAGATGGTTTTAAATCTATTATGAGTATTATGTAATGTTTATAGCTTGTTCTGATTTCAATTGGCAATGGAACCTCTATCAAAGGGTTAAGAAAAGATCTAAATCTAGTGTCTTTGTTTCAACAAGATTAGACAAGAGGAGCAATGTATTTAGGCCACAACGGTAAGGATTCCATGCAGTTAGAGAAAGCATGTCTTAGTTTTGCAGTTTGGAAATAGGAAAATGGAACCCTACAATTTGCAAGTACCTACCCAAAACTCTGAGAATAATGTTAGTTCCCGGAAACTGATTGCATTATTTCAGTGAATCAGACAGAAAATAATGACTTACATTTTATAAATCTTTTTAAGTTTTCTAATTTGCCACCTGGCCGTTGAAGCATTAATGCTTTAGGAACTGGAATCCTTGAAGTCTTACAGCCATGCCCGCATCAGTTTGACATAAGACTCTACTAAAACCAGTTTCAACATTAGAATAAGGGAAGGAAAATTGCTACTTTGTAAAAATCATATAATTCTGATTTTATCACCAACCTCACAGTTTTCCAGGCATATGTAGAAGTAATTACCATGCCAAGTATGAAATATAGCCAGTTTCATAACCAAAAGGAATTATGGCTAATTCTCCTGTAGTAAACAACTTGTTTTTTCGAATCTGTATTCCCCAAACAGCTGAGCCAGGCCTTGTTTCTGAAGTGTGTTATTTAAATAGGCAGTATGTCAGTGGAGTTTTACCACAGAGTTTCTGAGTGCAGGGAGCCTTTCCCTAGGAGTTGGGTGCAGGGAACTGGAGGGCAATGGTTCTTATAAGAAGTTGATGCTGCTTCTAAGAGAAAAGAATACACGTAAGTGAATGCTTAACAACTTTTTTTAAATTCTGAAATTCAAATGTTCTGCATTTTGAAATAGAATGAATATTCTCTAACTCCTTAGTCTAAACATTTTCCAAGCTGGAGCTACCACTCATCCTTGGAACTGCCAATTCCTAAGCACTTTCATGCTGGCGCTGAATATTGCATTGACTAGCCAATCCTATGTGCAGTTTCTAAGGCTCCTGCCCTAACTCACGCAACCCTATCGCAACTTAATCTGGCTTTACAACCTGCTACATTGCCAAGTGTTTCTTGTTTTGTTTTCTTTGGGTTTTTGCACATGTGTGTTTTGGTTTATTTCCCTGCAAAGAGGTAGACAACTTCTTTGCCCACCCATAAAGGCTTCCTTGTCCACTGCTTTTCTCTTACAAGCTCCAGAGAAAAGATAAATAGAGGCTGAGAGTGAATGCTTGGGCAGGGTGTTAGGGAAGACATCCTTGCACAAGAATCACTGGGATCATATAACTAGGTTAGGCAGAAAGGTGAAAATGAGTGGTAAATAGGCGTATAATACTATCCAAACGGTTACTTACATGATTTGAATGACTTAAAAATAATGTGCAGGGTGTCTGTTTGACAGTGTGCTTTTATTTATTTACTTACTTATTGCTGATTCTTTTGCAGAATGCCCTGGCTAAAGCTGCTGTGAAAGAACTTGCCACACTGCACGGCACCAAGTATACATATGGCCCAGGAGCTACAACAATCTGTGAGTCTTGGCTTCAGAACTGTGCAAAGAACCGTGTGCCTAAACAGCCAACAAATGATTCCTGGGGCCTTTCTGCCAGTTTAAAGCATGTGGCTTTTGCCTCATAGCAAATTTTTCTAAAATATGTAATCAGTTTTCTGCTCAACAAAAGCAGGTAAAGCCTAGGCAACATAGTAATGTTGTCTCTAAAAAAAATTTTTTAAGTAGCTGGTCATGCATACCTATAATCCCAGCTACTCAGGAGGCTGAGGTGGGAGAGTCACTTGAGCCCAGGAGTTCAAGGTTATAGTGAGCTATAATTGTACCATTGCACTCCAACCTGAGAGACAAAGAGAGATCCTGTCTCAAAATAAAAAGGGAGGGGAGAAAAATATCCTTCTCAACCCACAGAGACATTTGCTCTCTATAAGCATCTACTGAGCACTTACTAGGTGCCAGGGCCTCAGTAGACACTAACAGAACAAGAAAGTAAAATTAGAGAAAAGAAAAGATAAAAGGAGAAAAGGAAGGAGGGAGATCAGGGCAGTCTTTTTAAAGAACTGGCAGTGGGAAAGCAGGCAAAATAAGCAATCTTTTGTGATACAGGTGCTAAGTGCTGTCACATTAGGATGCACAAGGAAGGAACACGCCCAAAGGCCAACCAACCCCACAGTATCAGGATTAACTTCCCAAGGTGATGACATGAAGTTTTATCTGAAAGGACCATTGCTGGAGGAAAACATAAGACAGAGGGTTTTCTTGGCTAAACAGGTGGCAGGTACCAGGGCTACTTGAGGCACAAGTCAACTTCAAGAGAAATTAGTCCCTCTAATCAGTCACTGGGTGTATGCAAGCAAGTGGCTAGAGATAGCAAGCGGCTATAGTGATAGGGACTAGAGCCCAGAGCTATGGATGCTGCAGCTTAGATTTCTCTGGAAGGCACATTCTACAGGCCTCATTTTCAATTTCTATGTATATCTTCCTTTGCTTTCAAATGATTTCTTTCTGCCTGAGGTTGGAAAGAAATTGAAACACACACATAAAAACGGACCAGATCTCATCATCAGATGGCCTCCATTGCAGCTGGGGAGGCTCCAGTCCTGAGTTGTCAGGATTTTTTTAAAGGATTTATGCAGAATACAATTCGGTTTATTTTTATTATTTTTTAAAAACTGCTCTGAATCATATGAGGCATATGTTTTCTTAAGGGGTTTCTAGCAGAGACAGCCCACCAATTTATACATTGTGACCTTGGTGCACGTTTTTTTCAGTTCAACTAGGTTTCTTTTTCCATTACACCGTAAGACCTTGGAGGGCAGAGCCAACATCTCTCCTTTGTTCTGGCATCTTCAGAGTTGAGCCCATAGCCTACTGTTCAGTGGGAGCTATACAATTGTTGATTGAAAAAATAGATGAGTGAATAAATGAACAAATGAATGCATTAATACATATTCTATGCATTAGTGACAACATGGATGTTACTGAATAAATTAATAACAAATACTTTATCTATGCCAGACCCTAAGCTAGATAAACACTAAAGATACGAAAATGAAGGCATAGCCCTGCCCTCAAGCTTCTTCAATCTTATCATTTGGCATAGTTCCCGCCAGGTTTAGAGTCTTCTCTTGCCAATCATCATGTCGCTTTCCTTATTTTCCTGAGAGATACACATTCTTTCACACTGTAGAGTGTAGTTTACCATAGCATACAAGCACACTGAGAATTTTGCATTACAGATTACATACTTTCTGAGATATTAAACACATCATTTCTACAAACTGAAGTTGTGATAGGTTTAATGATAAGATTGGAGTAATTTTTTAAAACAGCCCCATAACATTTATGATCCAATTTACTAGAAAATTGGCTTGCTCAAAATATTTTACACAGTGAAACATTTGTAATGATAAAAAGAAACTGGCAATTTTTTAAAGTTCCTTTCTAGATTTAAAGTTTTTTTTTCACTGCTGTCTGCACATTTTCAGATCCTGCTGCTGGGGGCTCTGATGACTGGGCTTATGACCAAGGAATCAGATATTCCTTCACCTTTGAACTCAGGGATAAAGGCAGATACGGCTTTCTCCTTCCAGAATCCCGGATCCGGGCGACCTGTGAGGAGACCATGCTGGCAATCAAGCACGTTGCCAGCTATGTCCTGGAACACATGTACTAGTTGAGAAAGCTGATGGCCTTGTTTTAAAATGCTCACTTTTCATTTCTTTTCTTTCTTGAATCCCTATTTTGGTTTGCCTGGATGTTTTATAGATCTCAATCTTTCTTTTAAACAAACTTCTGGGTCTATTAAACTAGGTAGATCTTTTCATACTGATCATAATAAAAGTAAATCATTACCATTGGAAAAACCTGACATATGGTCTACTTCTTTGGGGAAAAATTAATGTGAATGAATGACTAAGCAAGCCATGTACACTGAGGATCTTGTCAGCTATACAGGAGTTAACATCCCGGGGTGCTGGCCAAGACCATCAGGGTGCAGATGTACTGGGTACAGAGGGAGGCTTGTGAGTTAAGAAGAAATATAAAGAGAAACTGAGGACTATAAAACCTGGCATACATGAAAAGACTCAATTTTTCTTGGTCTAGTTTTCATCTTAGCTCACTGAAGTTATTTTATCAGTTGTCTACTACACGCCATGCACTTTGCTAAGCAATTGAAGACAGAAGAATGAAAAAGAAAGATAACATTTCTGCCCTCAATGTGTGTGTAGACCCTTCGGAAAGACAGACATTGAATAGTTAACTCATTAATTAATGATTTACTAATTAGTGATCCAATTTACATTAATCAAGTAAGTGCTGGATGAACTACACAAAAAGAACATACAAAAAGTCTGCTTGCTTGATGTGGAGGAGAAGCCTCCCTCAGAAAGTGCCATAACCTGAGAAATGAGTTACAGTTAGCTGAACAAAAGGAGCACCCCTTCGAGGCCTGTGACTGTTCCTAAAGTGTAAGAAGGAAGCCAGTGAGGGTGGAATTTAGAGGGCTGAGGGAAGAGGAGCGTGTGTGCAGGCGAGGGAGGGCCATGGGAACCATGTCAGGCAGAGCTTAGAGGTCACGTTAAGGATTGGAGACCTTGGTCTAAGAATAGTGAAAATCCATTGACAATATTAAGTTGTCAATGATATGATCACAGTGTTTTGCAAACACCAGCTAGGCTAGGGTGTGGAAAGCAGATCAGAAACGAGACAAGAGGATACCAGGGACCCAGACTAGACCAGTTGGGCCAATGAACGTGGCAAAAATCACACCAGGACTTGTGCATCACACGTGACTTGATGTTTTCTGGAATCGGAATTGAACGTGCTTATGTTGGGAAGTATTGTGCCAAGTTCAAATTTTAAAATGGAATAAGACGTATTAAAGTTATGATTTAGGGGCATCTCTTACTTAAAAATCATAGACTATTAACTCATGACTTTCTATATGGCTTCAAGATAAATGAGACTCCACATTGGGCATAACATGTTAAAATATCTGTAACAGCGTTCTATTCATAAAGAGAATCCTTTGAAGTGGTAATGGTTTGTTCTAAAGTTGTCAAGCCAAAGAATTATTAATTGCATTAATTGTCCACTAGGTGGTAGCAGTGCAGCTGCTACAATGTGTCACACAGTCATCTTCAAGCTCATTTAGTAATACATTATTTAAGTAGAGACAGAGACCCACAGGTACAAAAAGAAAGAAAGAAAGAAAGAAATTCCCATTAATCGGTCAGCAATATTGGTGGTAATTAAAAAGCAGATGTAACTTAGCTACATTATCTTTCTTCTACTCTTTAAGTTACATCCACGTCGTGTATTGGAAGGCTAACATAACCATAGTTATCTGAGTGAAGTAATCTTCCTGGAGGTGTGTCATTAAACTCCTGTTCCACACGATACTCACTCCCTTGCGCTATCTCTGGCAAATAACACCAACCCTTGTCTAAAGGATGCTGTGGCCCAAAGTATGGAAATCTTGGCAAACCACAAAGAACTCTAATTCCCTAAATTGAATGCTTTAAAACTGAAATTAGGAACATATGTGCACTGCTTTTTTTAAATTTCAAGGAATTTTTAAGAATGAGAACAAATAATAGGAAAGCAAATACGCAAATATTCTTATTTGAAATCCCATGTATCTGAGATGTCTTACACCTGAGCAATTTTTGCTATAAACCCTGTCTACTGAAAGTTAACCGGAAGCTGGCTAGAATCTGGACAAAACCAAGAAAAACAGCAAGAAATGCCTTAGTCCTCAGTGCAGTAGCATCTGACCAGCTGATCAGACTGCTGTGAGTCCACCCAGGCTTGCCCGCCCAAGAGCCCCAGGTTGTGGGGGTACCTCTTCTCCTTCCTTTCACCTACTCCCATCCTGAGATCCCAGAGCAGGCTCTGAGTCTTTCATTCAGCTCCAAGCTCTCGGCTTCCAAAGCAACAGTAAACCAACAGCACAAGAGTGGCCCCTGGATCTTTCTTTCTCAAGTGATGTGGCTAGAAAATAGCAAGACTGATTTTCCTACCCGGATAATGGAATTCCTATATACCTAGAAGCATGTGCCATTTGTTAATCTTCTTTTGCAAGCTGGCCTATATGAATTGATTGAAGAGAGAATTTCTAGAAGGAAAAGAAGGCAGACCATGACAAAGTTAATATGTTAATTTGGGGGCCAAATTGGGTTCTGCTGAGCTGCTCAGGTCATCTCAAGGAGCAGATAGTCACTGCCCCCCAACAAGGTTGGATACTGCCTGAATCATATACACTCACATATATGTCCACAAATGCCACCTTTGCTGCAACTAATTAAGAATTTCTCTGCAGCATTTGCAGGGTAGTTTTGCTTCAATGTCAAGAATCCAATGTTCATAACCAAAAGCAACCATTTTTTTTCTTTCAACATACCTCTTGTGAGATACATAAATGTATTCCAGAAGGTTACTGGATTGAATTTGAAGATAAAAAATTATTTGGAAGATTATTAAATCACACTTCAATTTTCTTTTTTCTTTCTTTTTTTTACCTTGTTTCTGTTTTTACTTTTTTTTTTTTTTCTGTTCACCTGTTTAAGGCATCACTTCCATTTTCCAGGGCATTTCTTGTATGTGATAGTGTTTGAAAATATATACAGAAAAGCATAGCTAAATTATATGGTGACATGTTAAATTATGGCTAGACGTACACTACTGCAAATATCCAAGAAGTGCAGAGGTCCAGAAAGATGGCAAACTATGGCTGCGTGAAGTATTCACCACTATGCTACTTTTTAAAGAGGTTGATTTAATCTGTGAAACAACACCATCTTACATAGCCAATCCTAAAATGATACGGTGTTTGGCATTATTCATCCAACCCATGCATATGCCAAGACCTTTTATAAATCTTGATGCAGTAATATAAGGTTGCACTTATATATATGCTTGCCAAGAAATAGCACTTGTTCTGAGAAAAAGCTCTAGAACATTCTTGAAATCCATCTATTGTATTTTTCTTCAGAGGCTAAATAGATTGGAAAGGCAATGGGAGTCTCAATGCATCACATGTTTATAGCTTATTCCAGAAACAAGAAAATTCCAATCTGTAATCTATTAAGAAGCCAAAGACACACTTTTATTTATTAACAAAGGCTCATTCTGAGATAAGAGAAATACTGGGGTCCTCAAAACACTCACCTACATCCCCCAAATAAAATGAAAGTGTTCTTCCTTCCTTACCTGAAAAACAGCCATAGCTTTCTCTACACAATTTTGAAACCAGTCACAGAGGAAAAGTCTTAAAGAAAATATAACAGAATTCTAAAATTAAGAGCCTTTCTATTTTTCCTCTTTCAACTTTCCTGTATTTTGCAGAATTGTTCTCAATGGGAATTTATAATTTTTAGAATCAGAAAATTAAACTCCAAAAAGCAAAGCTCTAACATTAAAAAAATTCTTGAAATAGTCCACACTAAAACAGAGAGATGTTTTATCCCTAAAGGTCACGGCCACCACTTTAATCTACCACATGATCTATTTTGCTATCAGTTCTGCAGCCTAGCCATGGCCAACTGTTAAGTCTCTGTTGACAGCATATGAACATTTTATCAACTGTCTAGAGAACATGGACACGTTTGTTAGCACCAACCAGCCACTGGTTAGAGTCACATTAGCATCCCCATTTTATGAATGAGGAAACAAAGGCACAGAATAACTGCGCAGCCTGCTCAAGGTGATGTAGCTAGTGTGTAGGAGCCACACTGAAGTGATGTCTGTCTAAACTCAAAGTCAAGGTCTTTCTTTTTCACTGTTCTTTGGTCAAAAATATCTTTAGTAAGAAGCAGAGGAGAAAGAATTTGCTTTGGGAGTTTTCAGTGCTGATGAGCTTGTCCTGTGTCAAGAACGTGAAAGCATTTATAAAACGCTCCTCTTCCTTACCTGCAAGCCTGGAACCAGAAACTCCATGTGGCGAAATAAAAGTCCTGAGTTATATCACATACCCCTCAGATGGAGAGGGATGAAATTGCTGCTGTTGTGCATGTAACAGGGGTGTCTCTCCAACCACACTATTTTGATAAAACATAAGCATGACTCTGAGAAGTTTTATATACGATCAGCTATATGTTTGTGAATGTGAAGAGGCAGTTTTCAAAATGGAAACTCTAATAAGTTATCTGATTAGATAAATTCATCTACTCTTTTAGGTTACGTATGACTCTGAGTCAAGGTTTTATTCTCCCATAATTAACGAAGTTGTGTTCAAGACTAAAGATCTCTCAGAGACGGTTTTAAATGGTCTCTAGGTGGCTTTCATTAATTCAACTTTGAAAAGGTCCTTCCAGCCCCTTCTAGGGACACTGGGGTACCTTGCTAAACACTGACATCAGTACTGTCGCCCTCCTATCTTCTGGATCTGCCTTCAGGATCAGCGACGCCTTCTGGAAGCTGAGTGCATGCAGCTGCAGGGCCACGCTTTGGCCTGGTCTGCTGCGGCAGCGTGGCAGCTCTGGTGGAGCCTCTTCCCTGCCATTTGGTTCCCCTCTGCCAAGTAGCTGCAGGCTGCCCCTCAACTCTTCATTTGCCCTTTGTCACTTCTTGCAGAGTAAGTCTGGGTTAGAGGGTTTTTTGAAAATGGCCTTTGAAACCAAGGATACCAGAATGTGTGTGCTCTGTTGTGTTCTGTGATGAACGGGAAATGTAGGCTTCCAGCAAACCAACTCTCTTCTGAAACATGATAGACCTAAGCGGGACAGGAGTGGTTCAGTGCTGAGATGGACACTGTCACTCAGCCATGCTCCACCAGGGCCACCAGTGCATATTTTGCTGGTGGTCTTTGAGCACGAGAGACTCTGCTGTTCACCGATTCTCCATCCCAGTTGGTGACCTCCAC